CTTAGAGCGGCCTGGGGGGATGAAGCAAGCTGGGGGGGGATGGCAGGGACCCCTGGGCTGCCCAGAGCAGATTTGCAGGAAGAAAGGCCTCAGCTGAGCTGCCCCCACATCCACCACAGGGACGTGGCACCGAGGCCACGCGTGAGACTCAGCACTCATCCCCGTGGATGCCCATGCTGTCACTGGGCTCAGGGTGAGCTCCACAGGCTCTCCAGGCAGATTCTCTGAGTTGGAAAGCAGGGAAAACACCCTGGGAGGTGTAAAACACCAAGGCAGAGGCTTTGCCCCAGCCCACACCGGGATTAGGGCACCCACGTCGTGTCGGGTATCACAACACCACGAAAACACCCAGAGCTTTTTCCCCCCACCAACACCCCAACTCTCTGAGGGCTCCTTGTGATATCTGAAGGCACCAGAAGGATTCACAATGTGTATTTTAATGTAGGACGTGGGTTTGAACCCGGTGGTGGGGGCTGGTGGCACGGGCAGGAGCCGTTGCCGCTGGCACAGCCGGAGCTTCCTCCCTCCTCGCTCGCTGGCTGCGCGATCACATGAGCCCCTTGTTCCCAGCCTTTGTCTTGTAGGAGACGCTTGGGGAATCCTCCTCATCCTCATCCTCTGGCCTCAGAGCGCACACAGAGATGCTCAAATCGGATTATTTGACCCGTTTATCCTCCCTGGGTGGGTTTATAGAAGTCTTGGGGATGTGGATAAACCCCCCCGGATCGTTGGAGGGAGATGAGCTGTATTAATTATTCACTGATTCAGCAACAGAGCCTGCTCGGGGTGACCAGCAGCTGCAAAGCCTCCTGCTCACCCTCATGGCTTAAAGGATTTTTTGGGATCCCTGTTCACTGCAGGGGTTGGAGTGAGGGGGTTTGGTGTCAGTGGGGTTTTGGGGAGACTGAACCTGTGGCAGGAAAACCCTGGGAACAGTGACAGGTGGCTCTGGGATTTGGGTTTCCAGGGCAGGTTTGCACTGGTGTTGAGGGGGGTCAGATCTCTGAGGGAGTCATATCACTGAGAGAATCACATTTCTGGGGGCGTCCCATCTCTGGGGGAATCATGTCTCTGGGGGAGTCACATCTCTGGTGGCCACAGGAGGTCACTAGGGACAGTGGCAGGTCAGCGGCTCCTGGACCAGAGTGTCGCTCTCAGGGTTGCAGAACAGAAGGTCCTGGAGGATGGGAAGTGTTGGCTACTGTCCCATGGGAGGTGACAAATGACAGCAAGATGATACAGGTGCCACCTGCTCCCCAAAAACCCATCCCTGGGCTGAGCCCAGCGCAATGCTGCAGTGCCACTGTTGTGTCCTCTGTGTCCATCCTGCCTGGCCTCATGGGATCTGCCCATAGCATCTGCTCAGGAGGCATTTTCCCAGTGGAAAAAAATCAGCTTAAAATGCATCACTGGGGTATTGCCTGTAACGGGGAAATGGAGAGAGGCGTCAAAGAGGGAGAGGAGGGGGGTTCCAACGTCCAAAGGCACTGCTGGGTTTGACCCTGGAGCACCAGGAGCTCCCTGCCCAGGAGTTGACAGCCCTGCTGCGATGCTGCTGAGGAAGAATTTCCTGGTTTCTTGGAAAAACTTCCTTGTGCTCCAACTGAGCTCCTGGTGCCATGGGTGTCCTGCTCCTTTAAATGGCTTGTCTGGTGGCCATCTATGCCCTGGGGGCTGTCAATCCAGGCAGTGGCAGCCAGGATTGATCCAGAGCCAGTGATTCCAGCAGGGAAGCAGGAAGCTGGTTCACTGATCTCAAGGACTGACATTGCCAGGAAATGCTCCAGCAGCTCCGTAGCTCCAACACTTCAGGGACAGACATCCCTGAGCAGGCAGACACAGTGCCACCTCGACCCTTTTTGTGATTTCTGCCACAGAAGAAGATTCCCAAGACTTTTTTTCCCAGCAAAAACTGCATTTCCCCCTGATAAAACAAAGCTCCATCAAAGCTGCTGTGAAGTTTCTGCTCAGTGTTTACCCACAGTCACACAGAGATGAAGGATGGAGACGGAGCATCCCCTCCAGCCAGGGCTGGATTTCCCCTCCTGGGACATGATCAGCCCCAGTCTTGCCCCACATTCTCTGCTCCATGGCCAACTGAGCCCGGCCTCGGTGCTGATTCCATCCCAAAGCCACCGAGCTGAGAAAACAACAACAAAAAAAGCAACACAACCCCCAGAAAAAGCCTGGAGCCTGGGGGCAGCCACAGGAATAATCCCACATAGGTTTCCCCCCCCCTCTGATTTGTTGCCCGCTGGGCCGCAGTCCCAGTGTGCTGGGTGCTGCAGGAACAGCTGCTGAGCCTGGCTTGGCCAGGCTGAGCCCTGCTGGGTGAGACCCCCCAGAGCTGAAAGCTGGGAGAATGCCTCTGGAGCAGATGATAGCGGGAAGGTCTGGCAAGGCTGGGAGGGATGGGATGCACCATCCGGAAGAGCTGATCCCCAGGGAGATGCTTCCTTCAGGAGTCATTGAGCTCTTGGGGAAATATTGACCTTCTAAATCATGGCCAATGTGCTCGTGGCAGCCACTCCACAGCCTCAGCACTGATGATATTATTATTATTATTATTATTATTATTATTATTATTATTATTACTACTATTATTATCATTATCAGCTTTATTATCATTATCAGCATTTTTACCATTTTTATTATTATTATTTTATAATTTTGTCATTATTTTAATAATTGCTTATTATTTATTAACACTGTTATTATTACCATTATTATTATTTCCTTTTTCACTTCGACATTAAGACACTATTCAGAAATCTCCCAAAGTGTGGGCTTTTTTTGGATCCTTCTCACTGGGAATTAGTGTTTGGCTTTTCCATGTTGAAGCCTCGTGCCAAGGTGTGCTGAGGCCAAGCCAATGTAATTTTGGTGACCAGGAACTGTCCCCACATGCCAAACAGCATCTCCTGGTCATGCAGTGGAACCTGCTGCTCCCCTTGGCTGGAAAACCCTTTGGAACTGTGGGAGGAACATCCAGTGAGATCCCCCAGCCCAGCTGGGAGCAGGGAGGGGCTGAAGCAGCTCCAGCAATTCCTTCAGCCATGCCTTGGCCTGTAGTTTGGGAGGAATTTTTGGATATACAGATGCCATGGGCTGGGAACAAAGCAGGATCCTGGCAATGCCTGGAGGGGGCTGTGCAGCCGAGGGGGCCTTTGGGGACTTTGTGGATCACCCTGGGGTGGGAGAAGCAGGAGGGGACAATGAAGCTCCGAGTCCAAAGCCCCCCCAAGCAGACACTTCCAAGGCCCCTTGAAGCTGGGATCTCCTGCTGGCTTGGTCCCCAGGGTGGGAGGTCTGGTCTCAGGACCACAGGGCACTGAGGGGAGGAGGAGGAGAATCTGACCTCTCACCCTTGCTCTCGGTGCAGCATCACCAGGAGGAGCCTCCGTGGGCACATCCTTCACCCCGTGCCCTGCACCGCCAGGCCATGAAGACAGAGAAGGACGAGGCTGTGCCCACCTTCTCCCTGCGGGGTAAATACGGTGGAGAGGGGACAGGTGAGTCCCCTGTACCACGGGGTAGGGGGTGGGGAGAGGAGTCGGGGCAGGAGCAGGAGGAGAAGCCTTTGGTTCCGTTGCTGTGAGGTCTCTTTGGCCACATCCCGCCCCAGAGGTGGCTGGGAGCGCCATGGGGATGTGCACAGGTGTGCATGGATGTGCTTGGATATGCACAGGTGTACAGGGGACGTACAGGATTCTTGGGGTGTCCTGTGCAGGGCCAGGAGTTGGACTCGGTGATCCTGGTGGGTGCCTTCCAACTCACCCTATTCTGTGATTCTATGAGTGTGCAGGGATGGCCCAGGTATGCAGGGATGGGCCCAGGTGAACACTTGGCATCACCCAGTGTGTCCCAGTCACCACCAGGCTTCACCTCCACATCAACAACTTTTCCTGCAGGAAAGCCCCTCCCAACTCTCACACCCTGGAGGGCTCCAGCCCCCTTCAGCCACACCTCCCATACCCTCCATTGGCTGCCCCCCTATTTTTGAGGGAGGGAGGAGGGCAGAGGGAGGTGGTTGGGCAGGGCTGAGCCTTGTCACTGTCTCATGGTCTCTCCCGACAGGCTGCAGCGAGGTGGCTCTGCCCGGTGCCCCGATGTTGGTGGCCGGAGGGACCCCAGCCCAGGACCTGCGGCCCCTGAAGCGCAGACCTGTCCCAGGTGAGCCCCAGCCCTGCCCCGGGGAGGGAACAGTGACAACCAGGGCAGGAATGAGGCCAACGGATCTGTCTCCTTCCAGGGAAGCACTACCAGTGCTCGAGCTACGGCTGCAAACTGGCCTTCCCCAGCATGCAGGAGCTGATGGACCACCTGAAGGTCCACTACAGACCCACACAGTCCCTCGAAGGTAAGGCCAGGACACCCCACATGCCCCTTTTTTTGTCTGGGAGGGGGCAGAGTGGGGCTCGAAGCAGAGGCAGCACTGGTGCTGGTACCTCTAGGAGGTGGGAGCTGAGGGTGGTGTGGGAAGTGCTGCAGACCTACCAGTGGGGCTGTTCCCAGCTGGGATGTTGCTCAATCCCTACCTCTGAATTGCTTCACTCAGGCAAAACCTTCCACTGCCCCACGCTGGGCTGCACCGAGACCTTCCCCAGCATGCAGGACCTCATGGCCCACATGAAGGTGCACTACAAGCCAAACCGCTACTTCAAGTGAGTCCCTCTGGTCCCTGTTCCCATCCCACTTCCTCCCTGGGGTCACCTGGCTGATCCCAGAGAGCCCTGAGCACGTGGGCTCCCACATCCACAGACCCCGATCCCAGCGGCAGCCCCCGGGGTTGGAATGGGGGTGGTGTGGAGGGATCGTCGTGGGGGTGATGTGGAGGGAGCACCACCACTGAGGGTGCCTCCCCAACCCCCCAGGTGTGAGAACTGCCTGCTGCGCTTCCGGACACACCGCTCCCTCTTCAAGCACCTGCACGTCTGCTCCGACAGCGCCAGCAGCCCCGCGCC